ATCCAGCTGAGGGCTATGCTGTCTCTTATCTGACCATTCCCTAGGCAGCATCTCTTTGCCCTGTCTCCCAAGGTCTTTCCTACATATGTTCAAGATTCAAAAGGATCTTGATAGACTTGAACATTGGGCCCTATCCAACAAAATGTTGTTCACTGGTGAGAAATGTAAGGTTCTGAACTCAGGCAGGAAAAAACAGAGGCACAGGTACAAAATAGAGGTAACTGGCTTAGCAATAGTGCTTGTGAGAAGGATCTGGAAGTCTTGATAGACCACAGGCTAAAAATGAGCCAGTGATGTGCCACAGCTGCCAAAAGAGCCAATCCAGTTTTGGACTGCATCAATAGAGATATAGTGTCAAGAGCATGAGAAGTGGTAGTTCCACTCTATGCCACAATACAAAAAAGATGCTGATGAACTGGAATGACTGTAAAGAAGAGCAATGAAGATGATAAGTGGCTTGGAGGCTAAATCCCATAAAAAATGATCAAAGGAATTGATACATTTAGCCTAAAGAAGGGAAGGCTAAGGGGAGACATGATAGCAGTCTTCCAATACATGAAGGGATGCCACAGGGCAGAGCACTTGGATGAATCCTCCGTAGCATCCATGGGTAAGACAAGAACAAATGGGTGGAAGCTTCGCAGTGAGAGATCCAGGCTTGAAATTAGGAGGAAATACCTGACTGTGAGAGCTGTTAAGAAGTGAAACATCCTCCTGAAGTTGTGGATGCTCCATCACTGGAGGTTTTCAAGAAAAGATTGGACAGTGACTTGTCCAGGATGGTATGGGCAGGAGATGGGACTAGATGGCCCTCAAGGTCCCTCCTACTCTAGGATTCTATGAGTCTTTGATTCTGCATCTCTACTAGTATTCCACTCAAAGTACTGAGGTTGGTTTTCAGGCAGTTGTATTTAGGAATGAAGGCTGAGATATTCTTGGTTCAGTCTTGGCACTGAACTTGATGAGAAGCATGATAGTTCCTTCATTCACTTATCTCTAGCTTGCTGTGGACATTCTTTAATAGCATCACAATGGTTTGCTTGGGCTGATTGTGGTGCTTCAATGTTTTAGCCTAACAGTAAAGAGGCCCAAATTAAAAACAGCCTGGTAAAGAAGTAATGGCCTTGAATGTTCAATGATCTCCATGACCCTAGGACAATAACTGACTTAGGCAGACCCAGATGTGGTTATGTTAACAAGTCAAGTTTTGAAATCTAGAAGTGTTTTTCCTAAAGCTTTACAGGTTCTTTTCAATGTGATTTTTCGCACGCAGACGAAGTAAGCATTTTTCCTTTCTTCTTTTTGGCTTGTGATCTAAGCCATGTGATTGAACCAAGCTGTTTGAGCTAGGGAGCAGAGAGAATGACTTCATCTAGCTAATCCTAGAACTCACATTGCTTCTCAAATGTATCCATAAACCTTCTTGTCCCTTACTCAAGGATGGTTAGCATCCTTTCCCCTGGAAAATAAGAAGAATCCCTAGGGCTGCTGGATAGAAGCGGCTAGCATGTGTTTTCTGTATTGAACAAGAACACAGAGTCAATCCACGCAAGATGTTTGCCATAGGGTTGGCTCTGGTATATAGGATGGATGGAGAGACAGATGAGTCAATGAGATGGATGGATGGATGGATGGATGGATGGATGGATGGATGGATGGATGGATGGATGGAGTTAGCAGGAGTGTCCACAGATTGTGGTTAAAAAAAAAAAAAGTTTAAGATAGCAGCAAATAAAGCTCTGCCTGTTTTTATGTATCTCATGTCTGTGCAGCTTTCATCTCCATCTTTCCTTTCTTCATCATGTCCTATGGACACCAGAGAGAGAGAGAGAGAAAGAGAGAGAATTCATACATACAGCAATCTAGGATTTGGGGCAGAATATAAAGAGAGGCAGCCCAGTTGGGACACTGACTTGGACAAGGGGTCTGTCCTTCTCTGGCCAAGTCTCTGAGGATCACTTTCCATATTACAACTAGCAGATATTGAGAGGTTTTTTCCAACTGAACTTTGCTAGGAACAAAGTTTAAAACCCCTTCCCATTCAAATACTTGGTATAGTTGTCCTCATAAGGCAAGTGTTAGAAAAATTACAAGGATAAACCACGTCATATCTCATTTAGCTCATTTCGGTAATTAGGTGGTTACAATATTGACTTGATAATGTTCATAGAAACGCAAATGCCTACCTGTGAAAAGAAAGGAAGATTTTTTTCCCTACTCACTATTACTAGAATTATGTTGCATTCTTTCTTCTTTCTCTCCTTTTCTTTCCTGGGGGAGGGACATCTATTCCCCCCTGGGGTTTCTGTACCCTGGAGTTTCAGTCCTGTCAAGGGACAGCAACAGAATTAAGCTGCAAAGAGAAGGCAGAGAAGAGTGGTGTGTATGTCTATGTTTGTGTGTGTATGTGTGTGAATGAAGGGGGCCCTCCAAACGGCTGTAAAATCGTGCAGCACGGTCTCTCTGAATCATGCTGTTTTCAATCTGCTGTGTGCCAGTTGGAGGTTCAGAGAAAAAGGAGGGGTGGGTGAAACAAGGGGATAATACTGAGAAATGATAGAGTGTCTGTGACCTCCAAGCTAAGGCTGGAAATCCGAGACATTGATTTCACTTAGCATTCCTGCTGAGAAATCTGGCAGAGTTCAGATGTAATAAAAGAACAAGATTCTGTTCTAATGGTAATGGCGTATGACAGACATGTCTGTCATTTGGTCTGTCCTCCACAACACACCGAGAGGGAAGGGGGAGACTGATGGGAGAAAAGTCTCCTGATCTGCCCGTGGAGTTGGGCGAGAGCCATCCTGAGCTTTGAGCTGAATCACAGCGTATTCCTCTTAATGCAAAGTGGTGCAAAAAGGGAAGGAGATCCAGGGAGGTGCAATGGTTAAGTGATGGACTGAGGCCAGCAGGAGCCAGGCGGAAAACTCCTCTCAACCATGGAGCTCAGCAGATATCAGGCTGGTCGCTGCCAGACTAGTCTTCCTCACCAAATGATTGTCCCAAGAAGGAGAGATTCTTTCCTCACCCATCTATTCCCTTTTCAGCTTCCAGAAGGAAG